CGCTCAGCCGGAAATGGGGTATGATGATGTCCTCCAGCATGGTAGTCAGCCTAAAATAATAAAGTTGAAAATGATAGAAAAAATTAACAAAAATACTCATACGTCAAATGTGCATCCGGATTTGGCTTCATGTTAGAATGATCAAATGGGATCGGCTGCAAAAGATGGAATTTCTGTTTCTGCTTTTGGTGATAGTCGATTAACAGTGCAGCTCCAAGCTTCACTGTCTGCTCGTATGTGATCTTGTACTTGACGAGAACATCTTTAAAAGGAGTTGTTCTTCCATGCAAGTGATTATGGTTCTGAACTAAACTTTGCAAGAAAGAAATCACTGCATACTCCGAAAACGAACCTTGGTTATCAGTCATGTCGCTTCTTAACTGACCAAAAAATACTTCTATGTTGTTGTTCCAACAGCCAGCTATGTGCTCATACAATTTTGGATTTTCAAAAGGCACACGATTTTCATATGCACGGGTTGCATTGTTTGCATGATTTTGAAAACGCTCAAACGTAGTTGTAAAACCACCATAAAGAATCCGATCAATGTAGTCAAATTTAGAAGTTGAAGGAACTTGAGCAAAGATGTGATATGTTTCAGCTGGCCGAATAAATGGGTCTGCATCATTGTCTAAAATCAGCTCTTCAATTGAATCCAACACAAGGAAGCTGTCTTGAAGTTCTTTTTCAGAATCGTAAATCTCAAAAAATACATGAGGAATAGACATTACAACAGCCATTTCCACTACCGGAGAAGCATTGTCTGGCAAAGATGGTTTAAGTTGAGCTGCAAGCGCTGGTGTATAAGGAACCGAAGGTGCAATTTGAACTGAAGTCGGTTGAACTTGAAGGCAATGTCGCGTCAGATCGTAGTAATACTTCTGCATTTCAATAGACTATAAGAAAAAAAATTGTTAGTAGTTGTTTTAAATATTTTGTTTTTTGCATTACCATTTGCGTAAGAGAAATGTAATTTATACCATCACTAATCCATTCTCTATCAACAAAACTATTCATAGTAAAATTATGGGCGCAATCAACGTGAACTTTGATCTTTTCCCAAAGTAATTCTAGGTCACTATCATCTTGCTTGAAGTTAAAAGTCAAACGCCTAGAACTTTTACTTTTAAGATGAGGCAAAAAGCACTGAAGATCTGAGAAAACAGGCTTAAAGCAACAAAGCGCGCCATAAAACTGCTGGGGTAAAGCGTCTGTCAATGTTTTCATCGCTTGCAGATCACTGTCAGAAATTGTTGACGAAGTTGATACAACGTCCGGCAGTGTCGGCTCGAGCAGTCGCTTGATGAGTTTTCGAGTCTCGTCAGGCTAGAATAAATATACATTTAGTAAATGAAACAAAAATTAATATAACTTAAACACTTACTACTGTATTCAATTTAATTGTAACACCGGACTTATCAGTAAACTCCGTGTTAAACTTGCCGTAATTTCCCTTGATATCATGGTTATTGAGATGGTGCTTCAACCCTTCATGCATTTTATATCCACCATCAAAAAACACTACACCAATATTTTGGTAGTTTTGATGGGGCAGTCTGCACCTAAAAGTGCCATCAACAGTACCAGGATTGAAAAAACAAAACACCCATGCATGGTCGTCTAAAATTCCGGGAAACTCAGGAAGCAACTGAGTCAAAATAGAATCGTCATCGGCAGGAGATGATGAAGAAAGAGGTGATGCAATTGAAGAAGAGCAGCGAACGACAGCAATGATGTGACCAAGTGCTTTGGGCGATGAATCAAATGCCCAATTTAAGAAAGTTACTCTTCGACGTACTTCCAGATCCTAAAAACCAAATTATAAAAGTTATAATTTTGACAAAAATATTGCTTTATCAACTTACAACTTTATACTGCTTCTTAATTTGCTCAAGAGTAAGTCTACTTTTGATTTCTTCAACGTCAACATTATGGGCTGATTTCATGTGCTTGTTTATGCTTCCAAATAAATTGGTTTTGTCTCTCAAAGCTGGAAGAAAATTAAAGTTCACTTTGGCTATTTTGTGATCATTTGACTTGCATCTAAAAGAAAAATTGTCAGTTATTTCTAAATAACTGAAAATTATTCTTTGTTGAATAGTTATTTGAAAATTCGGAGCCATTTTCTTTGCAATATCGTCAAACGAAGCCTCAAAATACTGATAAAAAAATGATCTTGGATCCTGAAAAAAATAAAACAAAATTAATTAACAAATAATTTTAAAACATTAAAGTGATTCGTACTTTTGTAGCCAAATCGTTAAGCTCATTAGAAAAATAATCCTTTGTCCGGGAGTAAGTAATGCTCAAATCCTTGCTCACTTTTTCAAGTATTTTGTCATCAGCACATTTTTTCTCTTTTAGATATTTACAGACCGCTTGATAAACAGCTTTTTGATTGTCATCTTTTGAAGTATTAACAGAGCTTTTTGATTTTCTTTCTCCCTCGTAAATGTTAATTACTGTCTGTTTAGGAATTTGCATTTTCTTTGCAACTGCATCCAAAGAACCCCCAGGAACTCGTTTCTGCTTTTTGATGTCTGATAACTCTTGCAACACCAGTTTCTTGAAATCCTCAAACTTTTCATGTTGGTCCGGTCGAAGTTGGTGCTTCCGTTTAAGACGACTATTTTCGTCAAAAAATTCACTGTATGGCGAATTTGCTGTGTCAGTGCTGGTTGATGCCTAAAAATCATAAAGTGTAAAAAATCAGTTTTTATATTTTATTAAGTGTAAGTAACTGTGTAAATATTGTATAGTGGGAGGTGTTTGAAAACAAAACAGAGAAAAAACGGGCCTCTTAAAGCAGTGGGTCAATGTGTAAATAGCCAACGCTAAACAGTGTGCAGAGAGCGCGTCGACGCAGCGAGCGCTCTGCAGCGCGTCTTTCCTCAATGCACAGTTGAAGGCGTAGCGCGTTGCCAATCAGCAAAAAGGATCGTTTGGATCCTAACCTAACCAGAAATGCACCCACACACCCTAGGAAAGAAGCAGTGGTCGTCAGAGCCTAAACTGACAACGCCCGCCGCCCTAAGACGGCGCAGCCGCCGCCGCGCCTCCCTAGTCCGGAGCGGCCTCCGCCGCACCGCCGGCTTATCTTAAAAAATCTACTTGGATAGCCGGACCAGGGGTGGGAATCGAGTCCACTTTTCCGCTGTAGCTACACAGCCAACGTTACGCGCCCTCTAGCGTTGGCTGTGTAGCNCCCCCCCCGACCCTACCCTCAACTAACCTAAAATAATCTAAAATCAAAAACAATTCAATAGCAGATGTGAAACGCGTTGGAACAGTGCATCTTTATTGCCAATGCTCTAAGCCAGTGTTGTCAAAATAGTCGTCTTGCCCCACTGCTTTAAGAGGCCCGAAAAAACATATGGACAAACAAAAAAGCTCAAGCTCTTCCTCAACAGTAGCAAATGGCAATCAGAGTAAAGTTTGCTTAAAAGTGCCCTACTAATAACCACCGCTAATGTCTGTAAACTAACTCAAATCAGAGTCTTTGTGATGACAGCAAGCAAACTTTGTGGTAGTTATTTTAAGTAAAACGCTAGTAAGGTAAATAGCAAAAGTGCCACAGTGTGAGATTTATAAACGGTTAATTTGGTTGCATGTCCGATGAGTGCAATTTTTTGTTCTATAAGGACAAAAATAAAGAAAACTGCGTTTCAACTGTGTTGACGTAACATAAATTTTTACTACAATTAACAAACATTTATTTTATTCGATGCTTCAAACTAATTTCCAGACAGAACCTGATTTTGACGTCAACAGCCAAAATGCAGTTTTTTCATTTCTGTCTCTATAGAACGGAAAAATTGCACTCACCAGACATGCAACCAAATTAACCACTTATGAACTGCACCAGAAAGATAAGTTAACAAAAAGCGTAAACAGACATGTGCACAAAAACTGCCGGTCAACGAAAACGGAGCTAGAGCAAAAGGGAAACACAGCCAAAGCAGTCGCTCTGTCAGAATTTTTTAAAATAAAAACAAAACCAGTGCCTTTTAGTGTGTTATGTTGTCACTGCGGTTTTGCCAAATTTTGACTCTACGTCTGGCAGCTGATAAGTTGTCGAAAAAACTACTTTTACAAAACCTGTAAAGTTTACTTACCTTTGCAAACAAGACTCAAATAAAGGAATAATGAATTAAATATTAATTTAAAACAATTTACCTGTGGATCAGAATGGGCTTTCTCCAAATTGTACGTGTTTTCAGCCACACTTCGAGACAGTCCTAACTCTCGAGCTATTTCTCCAATGATCAGCTTGACGTTGACTCCAGATGCTTCCTTTTCATTGTAGAGGTTATAAACCATTTGGCGAGCTTCAAGTTTGTCTTCATCAGATTTCGGATTGCAATGCTTCCATTTTGTTGTTGTGGTAGTAGCAGCATTTTTGCAATCTTTGCCCCAAGTGACACCATAACCTTTGACGCCATTGTTTTTAGCAGAAACTTTAGAATTCTGTTTTAAACAAAAAAAATCAATTTAATTTAGTTAATATTAAAACCAAACACTAAAACAACTAAAACTTCAATTTTATAGTTATCAATTTTATTAAAATTAATATAACTCATTTTAAACAAATTTTATTTTAACACAAAAATTTTTTAATTTTTGTGAATAGCAAATGATAGGTACAGTTGCAAAAATAAAAACAATTTCTTAAACATATATTTTTAATTTTTGAAATTAGCTATTGCTCTCAAAAAAGTAGACCAATCAGATTTAAGTTTTTATGACACTCAAAAGCATACGCAGAAAAACTGCAAATGGATAAAATCCAGTTTACTCTTCCAATCCAAGGCATTACTAGAATAAAGTGACATTTCTATATGTGACTGCCTACAAATAATCTGATAATTCACAAAAAATTAAAAAAAGTTATGAAGCTACTCTCACAGTGTTTTCTAATAAAAAAGCCACACAAGTGACTATAGCTTTTACACTACTGAAAAACGGCAAATATCATAATTTTTTTCAATTCTTTGAGAACGATGAGTCTATCTACGAATATGCTGCCATTGGCTATATTGACCTGTTTGCCGGTTAATGTAAATACGGTTTGCAAATGCTGACAGGAAGTGTGACAACTTCTCACTAAGTAACCAAGCAAGAAACACGTGCGATATTACTATTATTTTTTAATGAAAAACAATAATCTAGACTTGTACCAAATCACCACCTTAAGCTTTGTTACAATGTTAATCTTTTAATTAAAATAACTGCAACTAATAATTTTATTAACTTTTATACTTTTATTTAAGAAATTAAAAATAAATGTATTTAAAAGTTGACAGCAAATCATATGTGAAAAGACAAAAAACAATATTTTAAAACTGAATATGATTTTAATATCATAAACTAAACTTATGCACCAAAAATGATTAAAACTACAAACTAAAAAATTAACTAAAATTGATAATGCAAAAATGAAGTTTATCGTTGTCTCTAGTTTAAACAACAAATAATAGAAATATAATTAAATAAACATACCTTTGGTTTAAAAAAATTCATGATGAAGGTGTAGGTAGTAGTAACGACGATAAGAAAATGAAAATCACAAAATTTGGTGTTGAGGTTAGATGCGATGACTGGCGTAATCCACAGAACTGCTAACACAAAGTGTTTTTGACTGAAGTGGTAAACAGCGTGGCACACTTTATTATATACTGCCCTGGTCTAGGGCACAGTCCCTAGAGACAAGTTACTTAGCAAACTCAAAACGTTTTGCTGCAGTCGAGTGAGAGAGAGAGAGAGAGAGAGAGAGAGAGAGAGAGAGAGAGAGAGAGA